AGAGTCATCTTTGCAGTCCTGGAACCAAGAGTCGGATCCTGGAAATGCTGCTGGAAGAGAAAAGATGCACCATAAATTTTAACTGTAAGGCAACCCTGAAGAGGCAATAAATATGCCTGCATGCACATCCCCATGCCAAGCTTCACAGCTCTTCCCATTCTGACACCCAGCTGTGGCATCTGACCCCTGGGACCTGTCCTGCCCCATTACAGAGGCCTCACCTGAGCCCTGTCCAGCACGTCATTCCCAAAGCACACCCTCCTGATAATTTTATTTCCCTCTTTAATCCCCTGCCCTGTCTGAGTGGCCAGGGCAAAAGGTGGTAAACAGGAGGGCATGGGAATCCCGGGGCTGATGGCAGAGATTTACAGCTCCTGCTGGAGTGGCTCTGAGCTCAGGAGGGTGGCTGGAAGGGCAGCTCAGTGAAGTGCAAAGGAATGGGCAGCACGAGATACCAAAGCTGGAAATTATTCAGCCCACCACTGAATAATTTCCTCCTGGCTAGGCATGTCCTACCAGGCTCTAAATCCTCCTTCAAAAGGATTTAATAAATCCTGCTTTCCCCATCCTGCCCAAAGCAGACACTCCTGTGTGTAAGGTGGGTCCATCCCCCTGTGTCCTCTGCAGCCCACAGCAAACGGGTGGGAGCCCTTCCCAGTGTTATCCCTGCATCACACCATCAGCCAAGGAGGAGCTGGGAGCAATGTCCTGGGAAGGTCCCTGCAGCAAGCCAAGGGGGTGGAGATGGGGACAGCCCCTTCTCTGGCTTCTGAGTCACTTTCAAAGAGAAGAGGGAGGAAGACCAGGAGCTGGTGTGATGGAGGCACAGCAGATACCATGCTTACCTCTGATCTCATCTTGCTTCCAGTCCCTGGAGGAAATGGCCTGGCACACACCAGCAGGACCACTCTCTGCTGATCAGCTTCTCCCGAATCTGTTTAGCCCATAAATTAGACTCAGCATCGTGGTTATAACCAGCAGCTTCCAGTGGGGCAGAGCCAGAATCCTTATTCCAGCCTATTTCTTTTTGTGTGTGTGTGTGTGTTTGGCTTTGGGGGGTTTTTGGAGTTTTTTTCCTTTTTTTGCCTGCAGTGGAAGGGAAAAGATTTGAGTGGCTCCATTCCCCACGTGCACTGAACAGGGAGGCTGAGCAATGCCATGGGATCGTGGTAGCCTCAGTGATGCACCTTAAAAGCCTGAGCAAACTGGAAGCCCTTTGGGGCACCACCAGCAGCAGGCAGGGCTTAACATGCAATGCTGCTTGTGCTGCTTGCTCCTTGATTTACGCCTTGAACAGATTTCAAAGCTTTTGGCACCAAAAGAAGCGACAAAGACCTGGCCCTGGAAGAAGGCTGCAGCTAGAAACGCAGATGCTGTATCACTTCTTTTTGCTGGGGATGGCTGGGAAGAGAGGCCAAGGAAATGAGGGTGTATTTCATGTTGTCTTTGTGATTTGGTGCGATGCCAGAGTATTCAGCACTGAGGGAGGAGGGGAAGATTATCTTTGCTCCAGAGAAAACTTAGTTGTTCTTCCAGGGAAGTCCCCGCTGAGGTTTGAAAAATGAAGGGAAGGTCACTCCTGATGCTCTGGACTGACCACTGCCCTGCTCAGATCACAGGCAAGGATGGGAATTGCCCCAGGCCCAGGGCCATGCCTCAGCAAACACCCTCCTGAAGGTGTTCTCCCTCCCATAACCCTGGTGCAAAGCTGGCTGCCCCCCTTGCCCACTCCCTGCTGCCCTTTCCCATCCTCTTGGCCTAAAAGGCTGAGCTGGAGCTCAGGCAGCCTCTGCCTTGGTTCTCTCATGAACACGGAGCTGTCCTGCACCAGGAGGACCCTTACCCTACTGCAAAACCCATCTGTATCCCCAGCCTGGACACGAAAAACACACCTTGAGGCCTTTTTAAGAAATAACACCTCTTTACTGGCACAACTCCTACCAGCACTGCCTGTCCCATCCCTGTGCAGGGCAGAGCCCGCGGTGCTGAGCTGGTGCCGCTCTCCTGGCAGTGCCCTCACCCCTGGGAGCTGTAATTCCTGGAGTTTCCCTCAGGCAGCTGTAGCAGGAGAGCTGCCACGGGATGTCCCAGGCTGCTCCGTGCCCCTGGGCCCGGCTCTCCTCGCCTACACAAACCATTTGTGCAAGAAGCCCTGGGCTGAGCCTGCCCTGGGCTGGAGCAGCAGCAGCACGCACAGGGACACGCTGCCCCTGCCAGCTGTCCCTGCCACCCTCCTCGACAACTGGCACGGCTCAGCTGGTGTTCCAGCACATCTGCAGCCCCACACAAGCTCTGTCCCTGTGGTTTTCCCCACACAGGGCCTGCAGGACTCAGCCTGACCCCTCTTTGCTCACAGCAGGCAGGTGTTCTCCCTCCAGCCCTTTAGGATCCCCAGAGCCGAGCAGATGCTTGTCCTATTATCCCTTCATGACATCCCAAAAAGCCAGGGGAGTGTGGCACTCCTCTAGAGGTGGCTGCAAAGTGTTGGGATGTCAGGACAATGCCCTCTGGCTGCCACCATTGCTGGCAGAAATTTCCCTGCAAGGCCACTACCTTCAAGTCCTCAGCTTACCCTTCCTGAAAGGTGCCTGTGCTCAGCTGGGGCTGGGCTCTTGCTCCAGGCAGCACTGACACAACCAGAGCACACAGCCTCAGGCTGCACCAAGGAAATACAGCCTGGATATCAGGAAAAAGTTTTTCACAGAAAGAGTGATAAAGTTCTGGAATGGCTGCCCGGGGAGGTGGTGCAGTCACCATCCCTGGGTGTGTTTAACAAAGCCTGGATGTGGCACTGGGTGCCAGGGTTTAGTTGAGGTGCTGGGGCTGGGTTGGACTCGATGATCTTGGAGGTCTCTTCCAGCCCAGTCATTCTGGGATTCTTTGATTCTTACTGAGATCCCATATGGATTTATTTGCTTTAAGCTACGACACAACACCCCAGGCTGAGGCTTCAGCAGGATGCAAATTAGAAGAGCAGAGAATCATAGAACGTGGGTAGGAAAAGAGCTCTAAGATTGAGTCCAGTGTTGTGTCTGCATGTTTTTTAAATACTCCCTGGGATGATGACTCCTGCATTTCCCTGGGCAGCCTTTTCACTGCCATCAGTGCCGTGGACACAGCAGAGCTCCTACATCTCCACAGAAGCGCAGTTACCACCTGGCCTCCACCACTCCCATTTCAGCACAGCTCTGCATCTCAGCAGCAAACACGGGGTGTGTTATCCTGCCTGCACCACCAATCTGGGGTCCAAACACCCATCCTTTATGTCAGGGATGGGCACTGCATATCTCTGACACCTCTGTGCTCAAGGTGTGGCAAGGTGAGGTGCCCCAGGAGCAGGCCAGGTAAGACCAAAATATGGTTTATTATCCTGCTCCCAGTCACCATCAGCTCATGCCCTGTGGCCTGCAAAAAGCCCTGGTGCACGGAGGAGGCAGAGGAACTAAAAACAATCCAGCATGTTCAGTGTTTTCATCCCTGCAGCGTCCTGTGGAGTTCTGGAGGGCAGCAGGCAATCCCTCTCCCTCACTCCCGGTGCCCCAGGAGCTCGGGAATCACACCAGCCCTGCTCCAGCCCCTGCTCCCCAAACACAGCAGCTGCTGCAAGCACCGGCAGAGATGAGGAAAAACAGCAAAGAGGAGGGGGAAAAACAAACCCCTTGAAACGATCTGGCTGGACCCAGGGAGGACCAAGCCCTGCTTTTCTCGTCCCACCTCTAAAATACCCGTGATTAAGAACAAGGCTCCCTTGAGCAGCGATGAAATCTCCTCCTATGTTTCTGAGGCTATTCTGCTTTGCTGGGAAAAGGAGGGGAGCTGCCTGCAAGCTCCAACCCACGCCTCCCCTCCGGCCCCGCATTGAAAAACAAGGGGCTGTGGAGGAAGAAGGAGGCGAGAAGGGAAACATGCCGTTCCTGCGGCTCCAGCAGCACCTCCTGCCCCTCGCATCTCCGCGGCGCAGATTGGCCGGATCGGCCGGGACGGGGGGGTGGGAAAGGGAGCCCACTTTGGTGTTACTGGGCAGACTTGGGGATTTTGGGGGGGATGGAGGGAGGGGGGGCCAGGGGCACACGCGCCTGCGTCGGGAGGGGAGCGCGCACAGGGCTCGTTTTGTGGTGCTGGATTCCTGCTCGCCTCCGCCGGCGCGCTGGGACACGGCGTCAGCTGCTCTCTGTCTCATGCTGCTATTTGGGCGACAGCGATAGGGGGGACAGAGATGGCGAGGGGGGGCTCGGGGTTGGTGCTGGGCTCCGCGGTGCCCGCCTGAATGTCCCCATTGTGCTGGCAGGGAGGGAGCAGGAAGCGCTGGCATCGCCTTGGCACCTCCCCGGCACCCTGCCAGCGTGGGGACCCCGGGAAAGGGGCAAGGGCTGTGCCCCCCCAGGGGGTGGTTGGGGAGGGGGAAGGGAGAGGAAATTGGGAAAAAGTTACGAAAAAGAGAGAGAGAAAAAAAAAAAAAAAAAAAAAGACAAGGTCTGGAAGTAGAAAGTGTTACCGTGCAGAAAGGGGATTGAAAGGAAAGGGAAAAACACAGCCAACCTCTTTGTCTGCTACACTTGGGCAGTAAAAATGGCGTTTTTCTACGGGCACTTAAAAAACTCCTGCCACTTGCCCCCAATGCTAATTTCATCCCAGGTGGCTGGCCCAGCACAGGGCTAAACTGATCCCAGCTGGATGTTTCACCCAGCCCTGGAGCCTCTCTGAGCAGTCCCTGGAGCCCCCCCACCCCGTGCTTTACCACTGGGGATCTCCCCATTTTGCAGCCCCTGCCACCCAAACTGCCCCCTCTTCCTCCCTCCCCAGAGGATGGGAGCTGGGCAGGGGCACTCTGGGCACCGACACCTGTCCTGGCCATGTGCAGCCTGGGTTCACCTGGACAAGGTCTCGTCCTCCATCAGCACCGATTGAGAAATGCCAAAATTGCTCAGTGTTCCCGCACAGCACAAACTTAAACCTGAAACAGCAGCCAGAAACTTCAGTGGCAGCAGAAAATGATCTTTTATTTTCCCTCTTTCCTTACAACATGTGAGAGCAAACTGATTTCTTTAGGCCAGAGCCCAAGAGAAGATTAAAACCCTTTGCCAGAAGGCTGTGGCAGGTGTTCTCTCCATCATCCTGCAGGAATGTCTGGGGTACCTCTGGAAAAAGTCTGAAGGAAGGGTGCAGGCGTCCGAGGTGGATGGGACAGGGTGGGAGGAAAACTTCCTAAATTACCTTAAAAAGCTTTGAAAAAAAAAATAAAAAGAGATTTTGGAGTAACATTTTGGAGAGCATCTTCAAGGCCCTGGTGCTTTGTCAGGGGAAATACGGGTAGGTAGGACCCTCATGCTGGACTTGAGGTGACAAGTTATGGGTGTTAGCCCACTAGGTTTTTTATATTTCTTCATTTTCTTAAACCCACTAGGTTTTTTTATATTTCTTAATTTTGTCTGCTCATTAGTGTGGAAATGAGAAAGTTCATCACCCCGTTCTAAGCAGAGGGAATATAAATAGGATCATGAAAGCAATCAGGACTTGCTTCATGCAAACAACCAGAAAAGCCATCCTGGTTCCAGTTTCCTGGTGTTTCCTGTGTGATGTTTGCATTAATTGATTGCATTAATTGATGCTCTTTGTCATGGGGAGGAGCTCCCCATGACACTCACTCCTTAAAGGCAGCACCTGTGGTTACACTTTTGGGATGTACACACCAATAACTTGTGGTTTGTCCAGAGCTCAGCATGCCACTGCTGAGCACGTGGAGGGCAACTTCCAGTCTGGGGGTGTCACCCTCCAAGGACCTGTGCCACCACCACAAACACCTTTTTTTGCAGGTCCACCTGGCACCTTCCCGGTGGCCATCACGAGAGAAGATGGGGTAGGTGGCAGCAGCTTGGAAGATGCAGCCCTTGGCATCTCTGAAAGCCAAGCAAAGCCCAAGACAAAAGGATTTGGAGAGCCACGCTCATTAGAGAAGGAAGTGAGGTGTTTTTCCCTTGTGGATGTGAGCTTCTATTCATGGTTCCTCATTAGGGCTCCAACAACCTGTGGAGCTATCCCAACTTTGGGTTGGCAGTGTCTGCGTTCCTATCAGCTTGGAATTGTCCATTGGGCAGGTCACTCGAGGGGAAAAAAAAAAATCAAAATCCCATGCAATTATTAACCCTGTGCTCAGTCTCAGCTCAGTGGATGCTCTCCTGGGGTGACCCAGGTCACTGACCTGGCCCTTCCGCTCTATTCCCACTCACTCCACGGACTGGCCAAAGCCAATACCAAAGGATTTTAATTAAAACTCCTTTCCACCCACAATGGTGGGCATTTAGGCTGTTAATTGCAGAGCAGACAGCCTCTCAGTGAACCAGTGACTGTCCAGCTGGCCAGTGTAGCCTTTCCAAGTCAAGGGTTGGGAACATTAGTGCTGAGCACAAGAAGGGTCTTTCATGGCAAGGACACGTACAAAACAAAATGGATGATGATGATCATCATCATTAGGAGGCAAAAAAATGGGAAGAACATTTTCTTCTGCTGGGTAAGGGTGGAAACTGGGCTTGGAGCACATCTCTGCCATGTTGAAAAAAACAAAATGGAAGAGGGAAACGTCTGACCCTCACAACAAATGCACTCATGGCACGTTGATTTCCTTTGTACTCTCTCCACTTGTTACATTTCCTAGGGAGGGATGATCAGGTTTTATCTGCTGTTCCACTGGAGGTATTGGAAGCTCTTGCAATGAGGGTCTTAAGATCAACAGAGAGGCCTTGTCACCTAAGTCATATAAGGATGCATCTCCCTTTTTCATGACAGCATTGAGGCAGTGGCTCCCAGGCTCTGTGAGATCCACAGACAGCTAGAACAGATCCAGAAGCCCTTCTCTGGTACCTCCATACAGTGCAAAGTCATATCTTACTGTGTGTTGTTGTTCCTCAGGCTCAAAGATGTGTTTTATAATGCTGCTCTTCATATAATTCTTGTTGCTCCTGTGTTTCAGGTCACCCATTTCTCTTTTTTTAACACCCAATATTTCCAGTGCCGTTGATACCCCCTCAGCTCTGCCTCATTCACACAGCTCAACATTGCTCTTCTGCTTTTTTGGGTCATTCGCAGAAATATGAAATAAGCCAGGTCCTGAAGCTGACATTTGGGTGGGTTCAGGAGAAACCTTCCCTTTGCCTGACAGTTCCCCCTGGAACTCCAGCCATGGCCACCAGCCAGCGCAGACTCACCTTCATCCTGCTCTCCAACCACATACAGGTCATTTCATGCTTCAAAATCCTTTGGAGATTTTGCAGCCTTCCCTGAAGGAGAACAGTCTGGCTCCTTCAGTGCAGTTCAAGCACCCACAGCAAGGACAGGCATCCTGTGGAGCAGAGGATGGGATTTGGTGGGGATGTCACAGATGTCAAAGCCAGGTTGGATGGGGTATAGAGGAACCTGCTCAGTGCAGGGGGGTTGGACTAGGTGATCTCTAAGGCCCCAAAGAACTCTGTGATGGTATGAAAGGAAATCTTCTAGCTATGGAATTTCTCCCCCAAAACAAGCCAAGGTCTGCTGCTGCAGCACTCAGCTCTTACAGCATGGAGAAATCCCATACCACCCGTGCCAGGAAAGAGCAAAACCTCCCTCCCAGTACAGCCCACCTGGGCTGGACACCACCCAGCTGCCAAACCCACCTTCCTCGGGCCATCCACACATTAGGCTGATTATAATTACCTGCCAACCTAATTGCACCCTTTTCCTAGGAGAAAGGGAGATGCTGAGCATGGCTGGGAAGCTACTGGTAATTAGAGGGATATTTTTATAACCTGTACTGAGTGCCTCATATCAGGAGAGCAGAGCCAGGCATGCAAAAAGCCATGGTATGTATCTAAACACTCTCCTCGTGCTCCTCACAACTAAATAGCAGCAGCAGCAGCAGCACAATTCACTTGGCAGACAAGAAAACCCCAGCTCTGCCTTCATGGTCTGGGTGTGAGGATTTAAAGGATGTTGTGTTGGTTTGCTTGCTCAGAGTTTAAGCCTGCCTTTGCTGGGCAGCACAGGAAAATGAAATGCTCTTAGGAGAAAAAAATTCTAGAAAATCAGAAAAACCAGAAAATTCACCTTGAAGTTAAAAAGGTCTTCCTCTCAATTTCCAAGCACATCTTCAGGAAACCATAATTTGGTCTTTCTGCCCTAAAATCATCGCCAGCTTTCCCCTGGAAAACAATCCCAGTGTATTTGTAATTGAGGGATGTTGACTGGAAGATGAAAACAAGCTGGTAAGGAAAGTTTTTGCTTTCAAATGCTACAGCTTTGCTGTTTGGAAACTTTCTCTTTTTCATGTTCTCCTTCCCAGCCAGTTCACATTTTTGTTCCAATCTTTACAGGGCCAGCCAGGCACTTGTGTGCAGAGCTGTTGTTAGTGTGTCATGGATAGCAACACATACCTAAGGGAAGGAGTCAACATTTGCTGGAAACGAGCCTGGCTGAACTCCCTTTCTCCCTCCCTCATCCAAATGGCCCCCAGCTTTGGAAAAGTTTTCCTCCAACTCTGAACTCGCTTGGCCCCAACTGCTATAAATAGTCAGAACAAAACCTCCCGGGCCAAATGCCCCGAGTGTTTCGAAAGCTTTGATCCTGTGCTGCTTTTTGGGAGCTGGAGCCTTTTCCACTCGTGCAGCTGGAGCCCATATTCCTGCTCAAAGCAGGGGCAGGGAGAGCTGTCCATGGGGCTGGGAAGGGGTGGGAATCCTGTGAGAAGACCCTGTGCAGACCCTCCTCACCTCTCTCAAGGTGACCCAGCATCAGAGAAGGAGCAGGAGACAGGGAGCCATGATACTGGCCTCGAGTCCAGGAACTTTCCAGCATGGAAAAGGGGCTTCCAAGGAGGTCAGGGAGGGACTTCTGACAAGGACACTGAGCAATAGGACAAGGGGCAGTGGTTTTAAACTGACAGAGGGCAGGCTTAGATTGGATGTTAGGAAGAAATTCTTCATTCAGAGTGGTGAAGCACTGACACAGGTTGCCCAAAGACGTTGTGGATGCCTCATCCTTTGAAGTGTTCAAGGCCAGGCTGGATGGGGCTTGGAATAACCTGGTCTAGTAGAGGAAGGTGTTCCTGCCCATGGCAGGGGGTGGACTAGAAGATCTTCAAGGTCCTTTCTAGTCCAAACCACTCGATGATTCCATGAGTTCCTGTGAGGAGAACCATCCCTCAGGCAGGGGTGGTAAGCAAACCCTCCTCCTCCTCACTCCCACCACTGGGTTTATGTTCTGTCCCCGCTGTCCTGCGGCTTGAGGGTGCTTTGCTTCCCCATTCCTCCCTCTGGGTGTGCCTGGCCCTTGTGCCTTGGCACTGCTTGCCTTGGCCAGAGACAGAAGTGGAAAGACACAAACATCAGGGAAAAAAGAAAAAAAAAAAAAAAAGAAAAAAAAAGAAAAAGAAAAAACAAAACAGAAAAAGGGCTGCTCTTGCAGTATTTCAAATCCATTAAGCCCAAAGTGGGAATCCTAGGAGAAAGCTGGCTCTCACAAAACCCCAGGCCAAGAGGTTTGAAACAGCAGTCCCAGGATCTGCATCTTCCCTGCCACCAAGATCTCAAGAGTTTTGGAGGAGCAGAGCTCAAACACTTGCAGGGGTGTTCAGCAGCCAAAGCAGGCACTCAGGCACGCTCCTCCTCAGGGCAGCACCTCCTTTCCTACTCTGCATTCCATGGGTTTGTGTGTGTGTGTGTGTACCTCAGAGCTCCCACATCCCAGCCAGGAAAGCAGCTTTTGGCCCAGATGGCTTTTCCCCTGCCACAGCTCTTCCTCTTGGGAGCAGAAGCCAGCCACAGCAGTGTGCACAGAGCAGCACAAGGCTTGTGGCAGAGCTGGGGCTGGGCAGCTCAGGATAACTCCCCAGCAGTGTCCTGGGAGAGGGGACCTCGCTGCCCACCATGGCTGGCAGGACAGGGGTACAGCACCACCCTCCCCTTGTGTTCCTTCAGCAGCAATCGCATTTCTGAGGAGTTCTGCTGCAACCTCACACTAGGCCAATGCTTTCCCCCAACCAAGTGACTTTAGGGTGGCTACAGGACATTGTGTTCCCAAGCAAACCCCACTTGAAACTGTTTGGAAGGGTTTCAAACCCCGCCAGCGAGTGTGTGCCCATTGCCTTCTCACCTTGGAGGAGGAGAGCAGTGGCGAAATCGAGGTTCTCTGGAGATTTAGGGGAGCTGGCATGGGTTTGGGCTGTGCCTCTGAGGAGCCAGCTTAGCTAATCCTGTGTTGGGAAAGGGCTGAGGTCAGCCCCATTGCCCTCTGTCACTGGCGGGGATCAGTATGGGGGCAAGAGAGCCCGGAAATTATTCCTCAAGGGAAATGGTAAATAAAGTAGCCCAGCTTTAAGGGAGCACTGGAAACACCCAGACAGAGTCCATTGCAGAGAAGAACAGAGTTTGACCTGTTCATCTCCCTGCTGCACCCCACGGTGGGTCAGACAGGGCTCGGTCCTGCTGCCTTGTGGGGTAGCTGGGCAGGTGACAGTGGCCACACAGTGCCCAGCCTGGTGTCACCTGGGAAAACCCATCCCGGGCTCTTCAACTTGATAGGACTCATCCCCTGGATCCTTCCAGGGAGTTTTGCCCTCATTTCCCTGCTCCTCAGTGCCACGGGACAACCCTCCCCCGGCCACCAAAGGGGCTGCAGCCCCCAGAACCCCGCTGGGTGGGCTGCCGTGGCCTCCTGCACGCCAGCCCGTGGCACCCGGCATGGGGTGGCTGCTCCCCGGGGGAACAGGCTGTCCCGCGGGGCTTTTGGCAGCGCGCTGCCTCCGAGGCGAGAGCTGGCTCGGCGCTTTGTTTTATGTCCTGTTTATCCTGCCGAGAGAAACAGAGGAGTCCAGTGTGCAGGAATCTCGCGTCCTCGCCCCGCTCCCCCGCCGCATGAGAGCTGCTGAGCAAACAGGAGAGAATCAAAGGCGGCTGCGCCCCGCTGGGTTTCCGCACCGCCGGCCCCGCTGCCAGCTCTTACATAAGCTCGGCCCGGGGCTGCTCTCGGGGCTTTTTCCTTGTAAACCAAGCAGCAAAGGCTCTGCAGCTGTGCTAAGCCCTCTGCTGATCAGGGAACATTTGGGGTTTTGCCCCCTCGATGCACAGCCGTGGTACATTCAGCGGGTTGTTGGCACGGTGCGAGGGGACGAGGCAAGCCGGGATCTCCCCGCGGCATCCTGCACTCTCCAGACTCAGCACAGCAATAGTGTATTTGTGGGGACCCTCGTGGCACGGAGGAATGATGAATCTGACTCCATAAATTAGCTCAGAAGGCTAATTTATTATTTATTGATACTATATTATATTACAGAATACTATACTAAACTGTACTAAAGAATACAGGAAGGATACTTACAGAAGGCTAAAAAGATAACAATAAAAACTCGTGAGTCTCTCCAGAGTCCCGGCACAGCTTGGCCCCAATTGGCCAAAGAGTCAAAACAATTCACATGAAACCAATGAAACAATCACCTGTGGGTAAACAATTTCCAACCACATTCCAAAGCAGCAAAACACAGGAGAAGCAAATGAGATAAGAATTGTTTTCCTTTTTCTCTGAGGCTTCTCAGCTTCCCAGGAGAAAAATCCTGGGCAATGGGATTTTTCAGAAAATATGACAGTGACACAGCACCAGCACTTCATTTTATCTCGTCTCAACAATTGTGGTATCCCCAGCATAAGAACGACATGGAACTGTTGTGAGGAGGCCCACAAAGTTGACAAGAGCATCTCCTCTCTGGAGATAGGGTGAGAAAGTTGGGGTTGTCCAGCCTGGAGAAGAGAAGGTGGCATGGAGACCTCACAGCACCTTCCAGTGTCTGCAGGTACCTACAGAGGAGCAAAGAAGGGACTCATCATCAGGAACTGTAGTGACAGGACAAGGGGGAAGGGGTAGAAATTGAAAGACAGCAGGGTTAGATGGATATTAGGAAGAACTTTTTCCCTGTGAGGGTGGTGAGGCCCTGGCACAGGTGGCCCAGGGAAGCTGTGGCTGTGCTGTCCCTGGAATTGTCCAAGGCCAGGCTGAACGTGGCTCTGGCAGCCTGGTCTAGTGGAGGTTGTCCCTGCCCATGGCAGGGTGTTGGAACTAAATGATCTTTGCAGTCCCTACCAAGCCAAACCATTCTGGGATTCTCTGATTTATCTCATCTCACCCTCTCCAAGACTCAGCATTGGGGCATCTCACCTTCCCCTGCTGGAAAAAGAAGGTGCTTTGTCCCAAATCTGTTCCCTCTCTCCTTTGCTCCCAGAACATCACAGGTTTGTCACCATGGCCTGGGTGTGTGACCTTTCCACCAAGCACAGCCTGAAGCACCAGAGCATCTTGATCCTGTCATCTCTAGCTCCCCAGTTGCCCCCAAAGCCATGCCCTGTGTGGGTTATGAGGATTCAATTCCCCAGCTCTCCTGGGCATGACCTCTCAGCAGAGCAGGAATGAAAACCCTGCAGACATAAAAACACAGAGAATATTAAATCCTCTGTGTCTGTGCCCTTCACCACCAGGCATGGCCTCACCGTCCCCTCCAGCTCAAGGACATCCTCTGATTTGGCAGGGTGACAGCTGCCAAAGGAGGACAAGGAAGAATGATGTCACCCTACCTTCTCTTTTCATCCCTACCTCCTTTCCCCCCTCTCTCTGTGTGCCTTTCACTATGAGAAAAGGAAGAAATAAGAGTTTCATGCTTTGAGAGGTCCCTGGGAGTCAGGGTGGGAGCAGAGGTGGCTCTGAGGGACCCCTTGCCCCCACACCAGGCCCCAGCCTTGTGGGGT